GTACTCTGATCTTATACTGCACTAGAGTAGTAATACTACAGTGTAGACGTACTCTGATCTTATACTGCACTAGAGTAGTAATACAGTGTACAAATAGTACCTCTGAGATGTAGTACAGTAAAAAGTACAATATATACCTCTGAGACAGTGGTGGGCCTTCAGGACCTTCTCTGCTGGCCTAAACACAATCACAAAGTTATAGCTATTTTATAATTTAATAATTTTTCATCAATACACTACATGTATGATAATTTATACAAATATTTTTGTCATAGTGTTCAACCAATCACATCTTTAGTTTGACATGTTGGGCGTATTCTTTGACGTGTCGGAGCCTGCTAGCTGGTCTACAAGTACGTCAGCATTACATGTAGCTCAGTGTCCATGTGCAGCTCTGCAGTGAGGTGCAGTGTGTGCTGTGATTGGTCAGTGGGCGAGCACGTGACTATCGTGAAACGATCACGTGCTGCAGCTCAGCCAATCAAATATGGGTATTCGGACAAGTTTCCTGACTCGAGTGAGATGTACACACACCGTGACACACCGGGCTGAGACGAGGAAAGAGGTAGCAGAGCAGCAGGTTAATCATGTCAGATGGGAAAGTAAAATCATAAGACGGACTTCAAAAGAGAAGAATGGGTCGCGGGTTGTCATTAAGGGGTGATGGTGGACCCCACAGCCAGACCAGCTGAGAACCACTGTCCTACATGAGCGCTGAAAACTTTATATTTCCCTCAATTTAAGCTTCTGCATTTTCCTAATGCACTAGTATTATTCAAGCCTATTGTTCGGTTCGTAAGCCTCATACCGAACGGTTTAATACGAATACATAAATAGTTAGTCCTAGAAATGAATAGCTGTGGCGCCATCATGAGGTCATAAGGTGGTATTTCAGCAGGACAGCAGTGAAGGCCCAGGTATAAAATGCACGGCCCGCCACTGCTCTGAGATGTACAGTATGTAAAAGTACCTCATAATTGTACTTCAGTAGTATATCTGATAATATTATCAGAGATCAATTGATGTTAAAACTGCTGAGGTTTAACATCAATAAAACATATTTAATAAACAAAGTAAATAAAAGATCAATATCTGTGAGGACAGGAGGTCTCACTGTGGCGGAGAAACAGGAAACAGAACAGTTTAAAAACACATTTAATGTAGTTTCATGTTACAGGATCCAACATGGAGGACAACACAGACAGGTGGAGGAGCAGGAGGTCTCACTCTGAGAGGAAACTACAGACAGGTGGAGGAGCAGGAGGTCTCACTCTGAGAGGAAACTACTGACTGAAACACAGAAAACTTGGAGACAAAACTCCACCTTCACAAAAATAAAAGTAAATACAAAATAATAATAAAAATATCTAAAACATAACATAATACCCTCATGGCTGAAATACTTCAGTGTGTGTGTTACAGGTGTGTGTGTGTGTGTGTGTGGTCAGACTGGTCTTTCATCTTTCTCTCTAAAACAAACATCTTGTGTGAAGCAGCTTTAGGAGAACAAACCTGTTGAATGGATACAGGTGTGACAGGTGAGGCTGCTGATGACTCATGCCCCGCCCACAAACACCTTCTATTCTACCTGTGAGTCAAAGGGCTCAGGGACGTCTCACCTGGTTATTATTCACAGGTGAGACGAGAAACACAGCTTTGTGTTCAAGTTCATCTGGAGAAAGAGACTAAAATACTTCATCATCAAGAAGTTGTACTTCAAAGACCACAAACATCATTAATAATCAAACTCAGCTCTGATTGGCTGAGGACATAATGTGTGAATTAATGATCTTATGTAGTGCTGCTTTTATTCTGAAGGTCTGAGGTCACAGCTTCTCCCTCCACTTTATTGATCGTTATAATAAATATAAATGAACATTATTCACTCGTCCATCGACACAATGATTGATTGTCTAAATAATCTGCAGAATTCATTTAAACTGAAGGTGAAAGTTCATAATTAGGTTTTATTGATCTTATTTTAATGCTACAAACATGTTGATTTCCTCTGAACGACACATTTAAAGACGTCTGCTTGGACACAGATATATATACATATATATACATATACATGTATATATATATATACATATACATGTATATATATATATACATATACATACATATATATATATACATATACATA